TCTGGCAGCCATTTTTATTTTAATGAAGCCGAGGATATTTAAATCCCCGCTTCATTGACTATGTCGGCAGAGGCATGTAGTCTAGACATACCCTGGTACTTCACCAGAATGAGAAGGGAAAGTGGAGTCGATGAGAGAGCATCTGCTGTCAACTTACCACAGTGAAGACACAGCAGTAAGTAGACCTATGTATGTTGACTTCAGCTTATGGGCACCTCTCAGCTGGTGCGCTCCAATATGGTGCTTTGGCAAGAAGCTGGCCAGCTGGGGGACTTGGCTGCAGTGGGAGAGGCAAGGCACTCCCAGTCTGGCTCCTGGCTTCCTGCAGGCTGCTGCACTCAGTACCAGGCAGCCAGGCAGCTTAGAGGGTTGGCTGGGGATGAGCTCCCCCCACCCCGAGACTGCTCCAGCCCACAATCCCTGCCCTCCTGCTGCCATTTTGGGGGACAGAGGGGTTGTAGCCGCACCTACCCGGTCACTGCTGCTTTTCCTGCTTCCTGTGACTAGGGAGTGGGGTGACTAGGGAGTGGGGGAAAGTACAGAGCATGCTGCTTTCATCCTCTGCCCCTCCCCAGACATCCAGGAGTGAAAGGAACACAACAGACTCTGCACTTTCCCCTTGCTCCCTAGTCGCAGGAAGCAGGAAAAGCAACACACACAAGAACACCCATACTGGGTCAGACCAAAAGTCCATCTAGCCATTGCCAGAGATGCACCAGAGGTAGTGAACAGATCAAGGAATCATAAAATGATCCCTTTCCAGTCATTCATTTCCAGCCTCTAACAGCGGCCAGGGACACTATTTCTACCCTTCCTGGCTAATAGCCATTAATGGACCTAACATCCATGAATTAAGAGTTCCACAGGTTGACTCCACGCTGTGTGAAGAAGAACTTTCTTTTATTAGTTTTAAACTTGCTACCTATTAATTTCATTTGGTGACCCCTAATTTTTATGTTATGAGAACAAATAAATGACTTTTTCTTATTCATTTTTTCCACACCAATCATGATTTTATACATCTCTATCATATCCCCCTGAAGGTACGTCTACACTTGCTCCCTAGTTCGAATTAGGGATGCAGAGGTAGCCGACAGAAATTGCTAATGAAGCGGGTATTTATATATCCCACGCTTCATTAGCATAATCTCGCCTATGCGCTATTTCGCTCGCCAGCTAATTCGAACAAGGAAGTGCGCTCCAGGACACATTAGTTCGAATCAAACCCCTTGGTTCGAACTAACGTTACTCCTCAAAAAAATGGAGTAAATCTTGCCAGTCTAGACGTAGCCAATGGGTAATCATGTTATCCCTCTCCTGTCATCCATTTCCAGACAAACAGACTAAGGACACCATTCCTACCCATCATGACTAATAGCCATTGATGGACTTAATCTCCATTAATTTATCTAGCTCTTTTTTGAACCCTGTTAAAGTTCTAGTCTTCACAACATCCTCTGGCAAGGAGTTCCACAGTGTTGTGCATGAAAAAAAACTTTCTTTTGTTTGTTTTAAACCTGCTGCCTATTAATTTCATTGGGTGACCCCAGTTCTTGCATTATGGGAACAAGTAAATAACTTTTCCTTATTTACTTTTTCCACACCAGTCATGATTTTATGAACCTCTATCATATCCTCTGCTTAGTCTCCTTTTTTCTAAGCTGAAAAGTCCAAGTCTTTAATCTCTCATCATATGGGATCCATTCCAAACTCCTAATCATTTTTGTTGCCCTTCTCTGAACCTTTTCCAGTGGCAATTTTTTTTTAGATGAGACAACCACATCTGTACACAGTATTCAAAATGTAGGTGTACCATAGTTTTATACAGAGGCAATAAGATATTCTCTGTCTTATTCTCTATCCCTTTTTTAATGATTCCTAACATTGTTTTCTTTTTTGACATGGACCTGGTATATGTGGGTGCAGCTCCCCTCCCCCGAAATGGTGCCTCCCCTTCACTCAGCCCCCTGCCCACAGCCCCATCCTGAATCTTGCATCTCCATATCCCCCCACTTCGAGCTCCCCCACACTCCCAGTCCTCTTCCCTGACTCCCTACACCTCAAACCTGTGTCCTGAGCCCCTCCTTGTACCCCCAACCCTTCCCTGAGCCCCCTCATACACTCCAATCCTGACTCAGCACTCCCCATGTCCCCTGCCCTAACTCTTGCACCGTCCACATCCCAACCCTCTCCTCTGAGCCCCCCACACTCCACCCCACACTTAAAATTTCTTACAGTTACTGTTGTATCACAGTCGCAACTAGATAAATTCATGAAGGTTAGGTCCATCACTACTTCTTAGCCAGAATGGGTAGGCTCTTTGTCAGAAGCTGGAGATGGATGACAGGAGAGGAATCACTTGATGGTTATCTGTTCTGTTCACTCCCTCTGAGGTATCTGGCATTGGCCACTGTCAGAAGACAGGATACTGGGCTAGATGAACCTTTGCTCTGACCAAGTATGGCCGTTCTTAATCCTCCCCACCCCAGGAAGGCTGGGTGTGATAGGACAGTATCTGTGAAAAATTTAAGTTACTTTCACCCCTGCTTCAGCTACAGTTGCGTAACTTAGATCCATGTCCCCAGGTACTGCAGACTATCCTGAGCAGTGTAACCTTTCTACTAATGAAACTATCTTATATGTTGTAAGGTTTACTTCTACTGGCATAGTTAGAATGGTACAACTTTCTGGTATAGGCCTCTCCTTAGAACAAGAAATGTCCAACTCTGGCAATTTAAACAAAGTGAGATTCCAAAGAACTAGAAGTGGAATTTAAATATCACTTTAAACACAGCACACATCATCAGAATGAGATTCATTACAAAAATTAAAATTAAGCTAAAATTCGGTGTTTGCCTTTGCCACATCCAGAATTGACCCCCCCCCCCCCATTCTTTGCTGAAATCTAGCTATATTGTGTACATTCATAAAAGCTATGTATTTAGACATGTTTTTAATCATTCATTCTAAAGCAGGGAGGGGACAGGGGACTTAAAACTAGAACTCTGGGCATATCTCCCAGTTCCATCAAGGTGTCCGTTCTGCTGAATTTGATGAGATACGGTAATTGCCTGTGAAGGAACGCTCAGAGAGGGATATTAAAGAATAAAAATGTCCAATGTTTATGTGCCTTTAGTTGCTGAATATCAGATTTCTCCTCAAACATGAAGCGAGTCTGGGCGGGAGTTTCCTTCTCTCAGTATCCTCAGTCCCGCGCCTGTCCTGACGAGGCAGGCTCATAGGACAGATTGTGGAGTTTTCCTTGGGGTCGGCTTTGGGGACACCTCCCTTCTGGGACTGCAGGGCTCCCCTCCAGGATTTGAGGAGCCACAGGATGACTTTGCCAGAATCAGGTTGCTGAGTTGCCAACCCTGGTCGCATTATCTTTGTTGCCTTGTTCAGCCTCCTCGCCTCCACCACCCCATCTTTATTCCTGGCACTCCCACCCCCAGCCTTGTTTGCTTTCCATGAATTGTCGGAACGCTCCTCCCCCCTCCCCCCGCTCCCTCTCTGTCTCTTTCTGGAGCCCGGGGTCTAAGCCGAGGTAAATACCCCCGAAACGGATAAGGCGAGGTTCATGCAACACGCCGTAAAGAGCCTCTGTGCCCTTAGCAAAGATGGCGGGTCGGGTTAGCGCCCCCACCTCAGACCTGAGGTTTTATGCCCTTACCCAAGGTGGCTGTCTGAAGCGCGGGCTCTTCTCTCGAAGTCCGCTGTCCTGGACGTTCCTTGCCCTTACCTAACGGAATTGTCGCTGTGCGCTGATGTCATTCTCCAGTGCCTTTCTGGTCTCCATGGCAACTTACCGGGCTGGTTTGGGAAGATGGCGGCTCTAGAGAGGTCAAGCCGGGCCCCTCCAGATCGGGACTCCAGGCTTCTGTGCTTCTAGAGAGACGCGCCAATCCCGCTCCCGCTGCGCTCTCCCTCGTCGCCGCGATGTTCGGGGACGGGCTGGCGCGCGGTGCCGATATAGAGTCGCTGTGGCGAAGAGACCAGGGGACCCGCTGCGAGGCGGTGAGAGGGGCCGGCCGTCGCGGCAGTGGCTTGGTGGGGACCTCGGCCCTTTCTTCTGTAGGTAGGCTCCGTCCGTGTCCATGATCCGCTTGCCGTGGGGGAAGCCGCGGGAGCCCCTCTCATTTAAAGCAGCGATCAACGCCTAGAAACAAATGCAACAGCCTGTGGGGAACCTGCGGGGGTTTCCCCAAATAAAACTGGCTGCTGTAGGAAGCCCAGGGACATGTCTGTCGTGGTAGCCCTGGAGTGAGCAAGTCCCTCAAAGTCTGGATGCCACAGAATGAGGCACAGGCTCGGTGTGACACACTGTTTACCTCATCGTGAGGGCCGCATTGATACTCTTATTTGGTTCACCTTTACCACCTAGGTCTGATTGGCTGGCAAAAGAGCTCACAGTGCTACCACCAGCTTCCTTCTGTGAAATATGGAGTGGACATTTACAGTGTTCTATCCAGGAGAGAAAATGAACTGTGTTCCTGTTGCCAGCACATGCTGAATGGCAAAACATGACACCGGTTTGTTTTCCAAGAAGGCCTTGCCTGCTAAGAAAATCATGACCTGTCATTACTATTGCCCTTACAGGTCTTCTGATAAAGCTTTGTCTGAATTATTGGAATAAGAAAATAAATTAAGAGTGCATGGAAGTTTCTGCTGTTACTTTATCATCACTGGTACTGTGCCTAAGTGGTGCAAACTGTATATCCTCCTTGTTATATTTATGTACTCTACCCATCTTGAATTCTCCCTGGCCATAACTTAAGACACCAATTGGCACTACCCCTTTTGGGACTCCACTGGCCTTCTCTGATGGGTCATCAGCCCTCTGGTTTTCTTCTGGTGTGTCCATTGGGCCTGAAGTCCTCACATGTCAACAAAATCTTCTAAATCATGTACTTCTTCCTTGGAGCCATCTCTCTCCTTTTTCAGCTGCCCCTTCCTTTCTTCTTCCCCAGCCTCATTCTTATTTGGTAAATAAAAAGCTGAGAAGAGTATTTCACAAAGCCTAAGAAATCAGAAAAGCATAGATTTAAGAAATAACTCTTCATCTTCAGTGGAAGGTGAAATATTTTCCCTTGTCTTTGTCATCCTCTGAGGCGGCCAGGTCAGAGAGCGGGGACTGCCTGTCCCCAGAAAGGGGGGTTGGTGAGCATAGCGAGCAGGGGCCACCACCCCCTAGGTTTAAAAAAACTTCTTCCAGGTAGGGTTGTGCTTTTTGGAATCCCAGCATTCACATCTAAAGGCTGTGTCTAGACTGGCAAGTTTTTCCGCAAAATCATCTGCTTTTGCGGAAAAACTTGCCAGCTGTCTACACTGGCCGCTTGAATTTCCGCAAAAGCACTGACGATCTCATGTAAGATTGTCAGTGCTTTTGCGGAAATACTATGTTGCTCCCGTTCGGGCAAAAGTCTTTTTCCGAAAGACTTTTGCGCAGGAGGGCCAGTGTAGACAGCAGAGATTTCTTTTCCGCAAAAAAGCCCTGATCGCGAAAATGGTGATCGGGGCTTTTTTGCGGAAAAGCGCGTCTAGATTGGCCACGGACGCTTTTCCGCACAAAGTGCTTTTGCGGAAAAGTGTCCTGCCAGTCTAGACGCTCTTTTCCGAACATGCTTTTAATGGAAAACTTTTCCGTTAAAAGCATTTCCGGAAAATCATGCCAGTGTAGACGTAGCCAAAGTGTATTTCAGTCAAGTGTGTTGGGAGACTGTTTCTTCTGCTGTAAATCTTCTACACCAGCGGTTTTTCAAAACAATTTTTTCTTGTGGCACAGTTGAAGAAAATTATTAATGCCTGCTACCCAACATAATTTGACTAGGATGTGGGCTCCTGGGTGAAGCCAAGTATGAGAGCTTTGGGATATAGGAGGGGGCTTCAGCTTTGGACTGGGGCAGGACGGAAGTGGGCGGGGGGGCTAAGGCAGGGTTCCTGCTTCTTCTAACAGAACATGCTGTGCCCTAGAAGGAGGTTCCCATCCAATTGGAGTGCAGAGCTAGTGCCTGGAGCAAGGGCAGTGCACAAAGCCCACCAAAGAGATAGTCCTGCTGTTGGCCGCTTCTGGGGCGCAGTACAGTCTGTGGTGCCAGGAAAGGCAGCCTTAGCACTCCCACTGATCACCTGATCACCCTGAGCAATGAGACCCAGTGCCTGACATTCCATGACCCAGTACTGGGTCATGACTTGTAGACTGAAAACCACTGTTCTACACTATTCCAAGATTTTGGCTCCTGTAATCCTACATAGGAAGCTAATTTTGCGTGCATAATACAAGCACTTAAAACAAGTCCTGCCACGCGAATTTCAGTTTTACAGTCTACATTCAGAAGTGTCAGTGTTCACACTTTCATAATGGAAGTGCTAATTGTAATCTGGTCCTCCATTTATTCCTTCATTCCAGCTTTCCTGCTTTGAAAAACTTCTCTGACTTGCTGAATACATATTACCGTTCCATCAGCAGCTTTATTTCTCATTAGGTATCTGACTGGTTTGCTGGGACTGAAACATATGGAATGCTGAAGAAAATCTAGGCAGCAGATTTTGGATAGAAAAACAAACCAGAAATGAGCTCAGTGCATTTCTAAAAAGATTGTGGTGCTCTTTGTGAATGTAGGCTCTGTAACCCTGTGGGAGATGTTAAAAGGATCCAGTCTGGGCCAAGGGCTGACTTGTTGTATGTCTTGTACAGTGCTGAGACATCATGATTATAGTCATAGTATAAAATATAAATACCTAAATAGAATGAAGTTTGTTTTATTTAAAATGTATTTAAAACAACTAGTTACTTTCCCATAGTTCATTCTATTGGACATATATAGAGTAGAAATGTAAAATCCCATTTAACCAGTTAACTGTTATGTTTAATCAGTTAACCACTTAAAAAAGAGGCAGGTAGGGAGGTGCTCCAGCCAGGCTAGACTGGAGTGGCCCCCTGCCAGTGGTGAGCTGCTCCAGCCAGGCTGGTCCACCTTTTCTTTGTTAAACATGATCTCCACTGTCCCAAGAACTGTTTGTGCTTGAAAGACTTCACAGTGCATACAAGCCACCAATTAGACAGGAACCCAATATGCAAGGTCACATTTGAATCAGTATATTGAGTGACAAAAGAAAAAAGTCCCAAATGGGCCTCTATGCACCTCTCTTTTATTGAGTTTCAATTGTAGAACATTCTTCTAACAGAAAAGTTGCCAGACTGGGGAGATCTCAACAGAGGAGGCTGCAGTCCAGTCCTGTTCCAGTCGAGATGCTGGCATGCAGACTGAGCAAAGTGAAGAGACTATTCAATACTTGGATCTCCAGCAGGAAGCTCTGGTGGATTATACTGGCCTGCTCTCGTTCCTTCAGGGAGTAGAGGAAGTTGTTATCAAAGAGCTGAATAAAAACTGGAGAAGTCATGCCTTCGATGGCTTTGAGGTGAACTGGATAGATCAGAATGAAACGGTGGGTTGATAGCATTCAGAGCAATATAATCAAAGTAGACAGGGCTCATAGTAACAAATGTGGAATAGTTGGCTCTGTTACCTGGTGCTGAGATTGTCATTGCTAAACTCTGTTAATAAGAAAATAAGTATTCTCTCACCTTTTGCCTTCACCCCAGTCTAATCAGGTAACCTGTTCTGAATAGCAACAGTATGTAATATTGGCTTAATCAAAAGGTAGCTTATAATTGGAGTAGGTTAGTTTCCTCATCTCAGGAACCAATGCAGCTTTAACGGTCTGTTCATTTAGATCTTTCTGCCATATTCTTCAGGGAATAGCATATTAATAATTACCTGGCAGTGTTTGGAAGTAATTGCAGTGCTTATGGCTTGGCAGTTTTACTTGTTTACGTGACAGTTATCCGGTGTGCAAGTGTCCAGGAATGTGGACACCTGGTAGCAATTGGTGCGTGCTGGGTATGTTTATTGTTACCTCTTATCAGATGAAGGCTTGAAATCACAGTGTAGATCTTAAACCCCCCAAATTATGGAGTAGGCTATTACAAACCTTTGGGTCATGGGCTCCTTAGTATTTCTGTAGTTGATTGGTGGGAACATGCAGAGTTTTGTGTGTGATGCTCTCAACAGGAGGCAATCTTCTGTCTTACCTGTATCTATAAACCACAGTTTGTGTCTCCCCAGACTCTGCTGCTAGAAAGACAGAGTGGAAGTATGAATCCTGAGCAGGATATTGGTCTGTGCTGATAACATGCTGCTTTTTTCGGTCTCTGAATCTCTCTCTCTTTATATATACATTTTTTTCCTGCTGATAACATGCTGCTTTTTTCGGTCTCTGAATCTCTCTCTCTTTATATATAATTTTTTTTTTCTCTATGGGATCACAGAGTGACGTCATATCATCACTCCACATTGCCACGCCCCCAACTCTTAAGCCCAGAACATGCCCTCTGCCCCCAGAAATGGCCTCTCACCATGCTAACAGTGCCACTGGCAGGCTTCCCCACTGACCGGCCTCTTTGCCCACAGTCCTACTGGCTGCAACCCCTCCATGCACCAGCCCCTTCACACTCACTGCTCCCAGCCAAAACTCCAGCTTGCCTGCTCAGACACTGCCCTGCTGTCCCCCCCTGCAATGAGGGGTAACGGTAGTTCGAATTAGGAGCTTTATTTGAACTACCTAGCCCGTGCCGCGTGTAGCCAAGGGAAGGTAGTTCGAACTATGGGGCATTTAAAAATGGTGGCGCCCAGGAACATGCAAATAAAGCGTGGGATATTTAAATCCCGGGCTTCATTTGCAAGTTCAAATGACTACATTAGCCACCCTAGTTTGAACTAGAGTGGCTAGTGTTAGGGTGGCTAGTGTAGACATACCCTCAGGGAGGAGACCTGCAGTATGGCCCCCAAGTGCTGTGGCCAGGCCCGGACAGCACAAAGGAAAGCCACATGGCAGGCAAGTGGGCTGGGGAGATTCAGGGCAGGGCCTAGAGACAAGCAGATACTGTTCCAGGTGGCGCATGGGGATGGATCCTGTGCCTTCTCCCCTCCCATTTCATAGATGCCGGCCTGCTGGCAGCGCTGGTAGCATGGCAAGAGACCTCACACCCCTAGGTTCCTCACTCATCCCTTCCACCAAGACCCTGCACCCCTGTTTGCTCCTGCCCCCTTCTCCCGGCCAGACACCTACCCCCAGAGAAAGGGGTGTTTGCGAGCATAGTGAATAGAGGACACAGTCCCCTAGTAGATCCTAATTTTCAGCATCTCAATATGTTGTTGACTCAGTATTTGGATTTTACTTTTCCAGGTGTCCTGTTTGCATAGCTTGTCATACCCAGAGGCTCAGGATCAGAAATTGCAGGTGACTAGCATCTCCTGGAATGCCACTGGATCAGTTGTTGCATGTTCTTATGGCAGGTGAGCATCTAAGTTGATCCAGTGCACAACTGAGAGTGGACTGAGAGACATTTCAGGCTGATGTGCATTCAGAAATGTTGGATAATGTTCATGATAGCTAACCAAGAGTATAAGCAACTTATTTATGTTGCGAAAGATTGATATTTAATTGATATTCAGAGAAATCAGAACCCAAGTGCAGTTCTGATTTAGCTCAATATTCTTTCCCTTATCCATTATCTTCAGTCCCCAAGCTACTCTGTATTGTCTCAGTGTTTTGTTTGTAGGCAGATTTTGCTGAATAATGTAAAGAGGTGGTGTATGTTTGTATGTGTCTGCAGTGTGTGAATATGTGTGGGATAGCTGGCTGTGCATACTTGCCTTCATTAGACAATGTCTTGCTAGCCATCATGTGGTCTCCTGGCCCGTATAGAATACACCTGGGACCCATACACACAAATGCTCTCAGAAGTGTACCTATATGCCAGATAGTATTTGGATTAGATTTTCTTTCAGCAAGGCTAACCATAATTTTACTTTGTTCTGTTATTGCCACTATGGACAGAGATTGCTATTATAATAGCACCAGCTATGCTAGTAGTCTTCCCACTGCTGGGACCGAGTAAACTAGTCATTGTTGCAGTTGCTTCTCTGATTTTACTTTCCCACAAACATAGTTTCCAGTGCCTTATTCTGGGAAACCCATTATTTCAGAAAGTGGATCCTATCATTGTGGAGTTGATTGGGATTTGCAGATTCAATGTGATTACATATTTGTGTTTCAATGGTATTTCCAGTTCTGGGGACATTGCATGTGGCAGTAATTGTCATGGATTTGCACTGACCCTAACAAACAGCGGTTGCATGCTTATAAAAACAAAGTAAATGAGATAGCTACAAAACAGAAGGAAGCAGAACTTTGTCTTTTGAGATGTTTATTTCCTTTAGCCTTCAAGAGCTACAAAATGAAACAAATCATGAGGGCAACTTAATTTGGGCAAGTAAACATGATGGTAATGAAATTGGATTTAGGCCTTAAGAAATGTCAGTGGCATGAGTTGTTTAATGTTGTCTTCATTATTTGGAAGTGCAACTTTGTGTGAATGAAACTTCGTGTTTGTGTGGCTTCAGCAAAAATGCCATCACAGTGGTGGCTAATTAAACAAATGCTTCATTTTGTCTTTGGGATGGGTGGTGGAAATTGTTGTACATCCCTATCAGAGCCTTTACGCCAGCATCGAGGGTACACTTGGTGGCTACTCTTTCCTGGCCCCACAGGACTGAGTAGCACTTCAACCCCTGCCAGTTCTTCTTCAGCAGCAGTGGTCATTACTGAGCAGCACAAGACTCTTACACACTAAAGCACTTTCAAACCCTGAACTCGTTGAGATGAAATGTCTTAGCTTTTCATCCTCTCTGGAACAATTGCTTTTGGTAACATAAAAAGGAGGAAATGTGTGCTCTCTCTGAATGTTGGCTGCAAAGTAACTTTCCCCAATGTAGATTCCAGGCTATTCCCATATTGGTATAGTTAATAGGTCCTGCCTGTAGTAATAGTTTGTATCAAAGAACAGCCTCCTCTAAACAAAGCCTTTTGTAGTCCCACAGAGCACATGTGAAGGGAAGTGGAAATGTAGCTGGAACTCTGCTTGACTGAGTGTCTCTGGGTAACAGTGCCTGGCTAACGTATAACTTCCCCCTTGATTTCTCTTCCAGACTGGATGATGGGGACTGGAGCACAGAAAAATCCTACGTTTGTACCTGGAACCTGGACAGAAGGGGGTTAAATCCAAAGCGTCCCGATCTAGTAGTAGATGTTCCTAGTTCAGTCATGTGCCTGGCTTTCCATCCATCGCAGCCTTCGTTGATCGTTGGTAGACTACTCTTGCTTTGGATTTCATTTTTAATTGTTCCCTTATTAGGGATGTCAATGTGTAGATTACTACATGATTAACTGATAAACCTGGGTTTATCGGTTAATCCTGTTGACTACATCCATTTCCCCCTCCCCTCGCTAGAGAGGCAGAAGCGTGAAGAATGAGGGGGGCAGGCAGGAGCTGACACATATGGGACGCCAGCTCTGTGGTGCTGCCTCTCACCCCACCCTCTATCATAGGCAGCAGCACGGTGGGGAGGGGGAGGGTAGAGGAGGCTGCTGCAAAGCAGCCTCTGTCTACAGTGGGCTTAGGCTTACTGTGGACAGGCTGCTCCACAGCAGCAGCCCCTGTCCACGTGGGGTCTGTCTCTCCGCACAGACAGGGGCACTGTCCATGAGGAGCTCTGTATCAGAGGCAGCAGCGCGGGGTGGCAGGGGCTCCCTGGATGTGGGGCCAGGAGCACAGTGGCTGGTGGCCCTGCCTCTGGGGACTATGAAATAGTCATGTAACCACTAACATTTGATGCGGTTACACAACTATTCACTAACATGCTATCTAACATTCCGATCCCTTATTTCCTTCAACTGCTGCTGCTGATTTTCTCTTAAGGGCAACCTGGGACTCCTCCCAAGGGGAATGGCAGTGCACTTCCTCAGTCACTTTCCAAACCTTGACAAGTGTGCCTGGCAGCCTTCCTGATGCATGTTGCCATCCAGGACATCTGCAGAGCCTGCAATGTGATCTTTGGTTCACACATTCACATAGCATTACACTATCGCCCAGCAGGCCAGAGATGATGCAGAGCTGTGTTATAAGCTTCATGCCCATGAACTCTTACTTGCCTCTGTTGGTTATTGTTTGGGAGTCACCTTACATGGAATGGATATGAGCAAGCACTCGAAGAAGAAAAGACAGTTATCTTTTCTCACTGGTGTTCTTTGTGGTATGTTGCTCATGTCCATTCCATGACCTGCTCTCCTTCCCCAATGTCAGAGTTTCTAGCAAGAAGGAATGGAGGTGGGGGGAAGCTGGCAGTACCTCTTATACTGTACCATATGGGTGCACTCCAGTGTGCATCTTTTTAGCTTAACAAAGAGACAATTAAGAGGCACTCGAAGAAGAAAAGACAGTTATCTTTTCTCACTGGTGTTCTTTGTGGTATGTTGCTCATGTCCATTCCATGACCTGCTCTCCTTCCACCATGTCAGAGTTTCTAGCAAGAAGGAATGGAGGTGGGGGGAAGCTGGCAGCACCTTTTATACTGTACCATATGGGTGCACTCCAGTGTGCATCTTTTTAGCTTAACAAAGAGAAGATTAAGAGGCAACTTGATTATGCTCTGTAAGTATCCACATAGGGAACAAATATTTAATAATGGACTCTTCCATCTAGCAGAGGAAGGCATAATAATGATTGTCTGAAAGTCTAAGCTAGACAAATTCAGATTGGAAGTAAGGAGTACCTTTTTCATGGTAAGAGTAATTAACTATTGGAACAATTTACCAAGGCTCGTTGTGAATTCTCCATTACTGAGAATTTTAAAATCAAGAAAGGATGTTTTTCTAAAACACATGCTCCAAGAGGTCAGACTAGATGATCATAGTGGTCCCTTCTCACCTTGGACTCTATGAATCTATTAACCTTGTCATGAGACTGTTTTACTTTCAGAGATAAAGAAATTGTTTCTGATAGCACCGGCACAGGAACATTTTTAAGAGTGGGAGTGCTGAAATCCAGCCTCCTTACCCTGCCGCTGAAACAAGGAGCAAAGCCCATGGTACACAGGGATGAGAAGAGACCTCCCAGTGTGTGGGGCTGTCAGCAGAGCCAGCCAGCAAGGTGGCAGCCAAGACTGCAGTACGTGGAGATGGTAGCTGAGTCGCCTAGTGCATGGGGTGGCAGCAGGGACTCTGGGTGTGCGAGGGTGGCAACAGAGCCTTTGGCATATGGGATGCCAGCTGGGAGCCTATGGCTGCTGCAGTACCCCTCACACCCTTAGTTCTCACATTTATGTGAGAACTACCTGAGTACCTGAATGGTCAGGGGTTTTATAATGAGGCACTTTCTGGTGCAGAAAAAGCACCAGGGGTTCATCCAATTTTTAGACTTATGAAACCTGAACAAAATCAAACTCGAACAAATACAATCAGCAGTTCTGGTTCCACATGTTAAATTTGGCCGCCTTACTCCCTTCACTTTTGGTCATGGTTCAGACCATATTTTCCAGCTGAACTTGACCAAATGTGGACCTGTTTGCAATGAGGTTCAACAAAAAGTGTCATCTTTTCTAGAACAGGCAGGGACAGTCGGTCTACATCAGATGCTTTCCTTCTACACTGGAAAAGTGTCTGCTATATGCTTTTCTTCCCTTTCCATTGATCCAAAAGGTTGTGAGGGAGAATATGTTAAGAAAGAGCAAGGATGATTCTTATTGTCTCATCTTGGCTGTATCAGCAGTAGTTAAACCAATGTCTGGCAGCTGTCTCCTGGCCTGTATCAGCAGTAGTTAAACCAATGTCTGGTGGCTGTCTCCTGGCCTATGTCTACACTGGCGGGTTGTTGCGCCAGAAGTATGCAAATGGGGCTAAGCCAAGCCTCATTTTGCATACCTAATGAGCCACCATTTTTGCGGAAGAGGCTCTTGCGCTAGAAGGAGCTGTCTACACTGCCCTTTTTTGCGCAAGAAAAACCCTCTTGCGCAACGCCGCTACGCTGATTATTTTCAGCAATATTCCATGCTTAGCCTCATTTGCATACTTCTGGCACAACAATCCGCCAGTGTAGACACAGCCCTGGAGTCTTCATGCGTCTTGCTCTGTTTTCAGATCTGCTGTCTCAGCAAGAAGTCAGAATTCTTCATCTGGACTTTTAATCTCTTCAGTTGACAGCCTGAGTGATTGGATTTTGTCTACTCATGAGTGGTCATATTCCTTGTCTGTACAGGATATAACTATTTAACTCTTGAAGCTGTCTCCAAGAAAGTGTTATTACTTGAATTGGACCAGAGTTGTGGCTTGGTTACATAACCCATGTCATAGAACAATACATTTAAAATTTAGTAGTGATCCAACTCTGACAATTCACTTGACAGCTATCTCTGAGTATCATGTTTTAGTTGATGGTAGATTGCAGTTGGCACACAGTGCAATTAAGGAGTTTTTGAAAGGTTTATGCAGAGCCCTGTGCAGATGCCAAAATCTTGTATCCATATCAGTATCCGCAAAAATGAGCTGCAGATATCCGCATCCACATTCGCGGACGCAGAGACCCACTGAGGATTTGCAGGCCTCTGTTCACATAACGTGTCCCTCCAACGTGTTCCATCTTGAAATTTCAGTTTGGTCTTGGGTACACTTAAAAAGTCATCCTATAAATCTTTAGTTGAGTGTTCATTATATTATTTATCTGTTAAGAGCTCATTTGTTATCATCAATGTCAGCTAGAAGGGTGAGTGAATTGAATGCCTTGATGGCTGATTCGTGTACTTGTTTTCATAAAGATTAAATGGTTACCTTTGTTACCGTTGTTTGAGATGCACTGCTCAGTTCTATTCCAGTTGAGGTGCATGTGTGCTGCCTGCCTGGCCGCCAGAAAGCTTTTATGCTAGCTGCCTCTTGGTTGGCTGTGGAGCTCCCTGGAGTGGCGCCAGTGCGGTGCCCAATATATGATCCTGACGACCCAACTGCCCTGCAGTTCCATGTTGTTGACTACTCTGACAGTAGAGAATGAGGATGGGTATGACATAGGTACAGTCAAACAGCCATACGGGGTCAGACCAAAGGTCCATCTAGCACAAATAATTTAATGTCCATCCTGTCAAATAATTGATTGACTGAAAAGTCAGGTGCCACTTTTGGCAAAAATCAGTTCACGCATAAGAACTACTTTTTTTTTTTTCTTCTTCGAATGTTTGCTCATATGTATTCCAGATGAGGTGTGCACAGCTGCCAGAAAATGTTTACCCTAGCTGCTACCCATAGGGTCAGCCATGGAGCCTCCTCGAGAGGCAGTGGTGTGACCCCCTACATGTGACCCTGCCAATCCAACTGTCCCTCAATTCCTTCTTACCAACAAAGACAACTTTTGGAACTTTGGCTCTCTTGCATTGCAAGTGTCATTTATCCCTTGCTTTGTTAGTTTAACAATAACTAATCATTAACAGTAGTTAGTATTGCTGTCCTGTCAATTAATTAATATGCAGGCATTTCCCCCCAAAGCCACATATGAATAAGGGGGAATCTGTTTTATATACTTTGGATGTAAGAACTCTTGCATATTATTTAAACTGATTTAAAATGTTTTTTTGTATCGTACACTGAGAATCACATGGGTTGTGTCATCTTCCTAGACTATAGAGGCATTAAAAAACATACAATCACATTCTGCCAGAGCTGTGACAGCTGCTTTTGTTTGCTTCTGCTATCTTCAGGACTGATCTGGAATTTTGTATACACTTACACTAAGCATTATGCTCTTGATTTTGTTTCCCAAACTGATGGTAGATTTGGTCGAGCAGTGCTTCAGTTGCCATTTTATAAGGACACTGTTCCTGTCTCCACGTTATTTTCAGCCCTGCCTATCAATCTATCCCATAAATTGGAATATTCAGAGTAGGGATGTAAAGAGTTAACTGGTAATCATGCCTCTTAGCCAGGTAAGCATACTGATAACCTGTTAACTCAGGGGCAGGGGGAGGGCTGCTCCAGCTGGAGCAGCTCCTCAGCATACAGTGTGGTGCAGTGGGCTTGACCTGATCTGGCCAGAGCCCCCCCCGCCATTGGTTGAGGGTTGTTCCAACTTGGCTGGGCTAACCATAGTGGGCTTGACCTGATCTGGCCAGAGCAGCCCCCTGCCCACATCCCTGCCATTGGTTGAGGGTTGCTCCAACTTGGCTGGGCTAACCACGTCACAGATGGGGGACAGCCTCCCCACAGTTAACCAGTTAAACACTTTGTTTAGCCCATTAACCACCTAACCAGGATTTTACATCCTAAATACAGAGCCAGTTGAAAAAAGGAAGATTACTTATACGTAACTGGAGTGCTTAATGATACTTTGCATATTCACACTGCCTGCTCCTCTTAGTTTATTCTGCATATCTGGTTTGTGGTGGAAGAAACTGATGGTAGAAGTTGCTGTGCTCTTGTCTTTCAGAACATTAAGGTCAAGGGGAGGAGGAGGTGCTAAAACACTGGACACTGCTAGAAGGTTCTACCATTGGACACCACTAGGTGGTGCAATAGCTCTGCCTATTCATACCCATGGTTATCTCAAGCTGTTTTACATAGCATTGCGTCCACGTTCTTTAGTAGCCATTTGTCATCTACAGGTGGCCTTTACAGTGGGGAGATCTTGATATGGGACACGAGCAGGGTAGAAGACCCCTTGATTGGGAGAACAGGGATGACAGATGACACTCATACAGATCCAGTCTATCAGGTAACAGGGCAAAGTCCAAACTAGTGGGACATTCATTGGGCTCGATCATACAGATCCAGTCTATCAGGTAACAGGGCAAAGTCCAAACTTTATTGGGACATTCATTGGGCTCGACGACACTCATACAGATCCAGTCTATCAGGTAACAGGGCAAAGTCCAAACTAGTGGGACATTCATTGGGCTCGATGGCAGGGGAGACATCACAATCCTGGCATTTCATCGCTTTATTTCCTGGACATGAGTAGTACTTGCACAATTGCATTGAAATCTTTACAGTCAATAGATTAATTTCAAGACAGTTAAATAGGGCAAATCCTCCTGCGATTGGGTTGCTAGTAGTGTCACCTAATGTCTTTTGTCCTGAGATTTAGTAATGTTTTTAAATGTGGAGTCACTGGACTTGCTGAGGCCTCTTTTCACAGTTTTCTTATGTTGGGAAAAGGTTGACTGGTTACAGGACTCAAAGCACAGTCACCACTTCCAGATTCTGAGCGTATCCACAGATGGAAAGATCCTCGTGTGGCAGACAGAGAAAGATGGTCAGCTGATGTTAGCTGAAGGATTTGCCTTAGTAGCTCAGCAGATCCCTTGGAGTATGAAACTTAAGAAGGTTAGTTCAGTAATTCCAGATAACATTGACTTGATACAACCTTTAAAGGGCTAGGTGTGAATTACGATAGCTTGGGTATGAGAGCAATTAGAAGACTACAGTTTTCATTTGATGGGGGAAAAGGAACAGAGAATGAAGCCCATTTATCAAGCAGCACAATAAATGTTGGCTTTCCCATTCCCAATCCACAAGATAAGCTTGGAAAATGACCACTTAAGTTCTAGGTGCAGTGGCCTTGTCTTAAATAATGAGACCTGTAAGCTAAGTTCTCCATCCTGAACCTTTAGTAGAAGACTCAGTTCTGTAAAAAGAAAACAGAATGGTTGTTGCAGGTCATGTGTATGTAGATTCAATTTGAGTTGTCTCATGGATGGTTTGTCCCCTTTTTCCTAGCATGCACGTGGGGAGTCAGCTGTGGGCGTGACCGCGCTCTCTTTCTCCCACTTTGATCCCAGTGTGTTTATCATTGGTGTGGAAGGTGGATATTCTCTCAAGTGCTCCACTGCAGTAGAGAACACCGCTGTCCCTAGGACAGGTAGCTCTGTTCCTCTCAAGGCACCTGCACAGTTTGCCTTTACTCCTCATGGTGGACCTGTGTACAGTGTAAGCTGCTCACCTTTCCACAGGCAAGTAATGGGCAGACTACATTGGCACCAAATGTTAGTTACACTACCATCTGGTTCTTATGGTGGCTTTCCTGAGTGACCTGCGGTTTGGGGGAGATCCAAACAAGGACCAAAGTCCTACTATATTTGTCACATTGGAAAGCTGTTTAAAGGGAATGCTGTTAGCGTAAAGGGGGTTGCACTAACATACAGTAAAGCTGAATATGCCCTTGTATAGGTATAACTTTGACGCCCGTAATATTATCCCCGTTTCCACCAAAGCTAAACTTATTTCCACTTGGCTCTTTATTCAGGACAATTCTTCCCAGAATTCCATTAACAGCAATGTTAGGAGATAGGAAACAGGCTATCATTCTCAATTGCCTATCACTCTACTTGTAACTTGTGTACATCTACAGACTGTAAGCACACCATTTAAACACAAACCCTTTTAAATGTCCATAAATCTGTCTTCATGAACATGAGGGATAGTCATGGTACAGCATACATTTTGCATGGAAAAGACCAGATCACAGTAGACTCCTGAATCCTGATCTTTTAATACAAGACGAAAGGTGCAGTGCTTCATGTGACTGCAATTCATGACTAACAAAACCTTAGTAAATACGCAACTGAGTAAAGATAAATTTGAGGAACCTTGATCCATTCAGTCAGAATGGTCATGAAACCACATAGCAGTAACACAGCTAATGTAGACCAACTCTCAGGCTGCTTAAGTAAGTGAACTCTGCTCTGTGTTCTTAATATTGATTCCCTAAGTTTTTAATTTCTTTTCAGGAATCTCTTTCTGAGTGGCAGCACTGATGGACATGTTCACTTACACTCCATGCTGCAGGCACAACCCCTTATTTCTCTCCAGTTATCAAAGAAGTATCTGTTTAGTGTGCGCTGGTCTCCAGTACGACCTCTGGTCTTTGCAGCTGCCACTGGAGAAGGTAGGTACCCTTTAGCTGCTGATTTGTTGGAGAATCCAGGTTCTCTCTCACTTGGAACACTTATGCTATGTAAAAGCTTACTGCTCAGCACTCCCCATGTGGCTATACCTTAATTTGTTTGAAAGCTGGGGTTTCCAAACTGTCAGATGGTAAAATGCAGTAGTTTCTAAATTAACAGGTCACTTTGTGTGGCTATGGGAAATTTGTACCATACCATGGCTACAACTTTTTCCAGCTTTCCTGTGTTTAAAGTACTGGCTTTTAACACTAATAGTTTGCAATATGACTGACTCTTTAGAAACTGATAGTCCTGAATTATCCTAGCATTTAAAGATGTTGACAGGGCTGCAGCTTAACTTCTGCCAGCAGCTGGTTTCAACCTGCCTTGACTAGTGAGTAAATCTACATCCAGGGTGGTGAATCTAAGATTCAGGGGCCCAATGCAGCTCCAGGTATGCCTGGATCTAGCCCCCAAAGCTCAGGGCCCCCCCCGCAGCCCCTTGTGTGACTAGAACACCCATTGTCTACTAGCCTGGACCCCCTCCCCCCCCAGGCTCTGGTGTGCAAGGGGAATGTGGGGAGTGTCTTTCACCTTTTCAGTCAAGGGCCACTTCAGTGAGGGTTTTGTTTTTTTTCTTCTTCTGTGTGCAACCCCCACCTGATTTTCTGGGGGTCAGTGGGTCCCCAATCCAATAAAGGTTCCCCACCCCGATCTACACTGTTCCTTCAATGTAGCACTGCTTAATCTAGATACAGCACAGGGAAGGAGAGAAAAGATGAAATCATATTGCTTCAATGGTGCCAGGTTGCAGTGAAAGCTTGAACTAAAAAGTATGTCGTCTGTTACTCAACACTAATGATTGTTGTGGATTATTTATTTTAAAGGAGAAGTGCATCTGTTTGATTTTGGAAAGAGCTCCCAGAAGCCTGCAGTTTCTATAAAACAAGCATCAGCTGACACTGAAGTGTACTGCATAGAGTTTAACATCAAGCATACTCAGCTTCTGGCAGCAGGGGATGCCAGTGGCATGCTGAAAATATGGCAGCTGAGTTCAGACTTTATTCAAGAGGGACCAAGAGAAATGAATCACCTTGAGCAGCTGGCAGATGAAGTCCCTGATTGAGACACTAACAGGCCAGTGTTATCAGTTATTTGTTTCTTGCTACAGCACATGGTTGTTACGGTTTCTACTCAAAACCGGTCTGTAAAACACACATGATATTTGTAATGGAAAGTCCTAATCGTTCTGACCATCTTTAACTAAAGCCATGTAGTAAATAAAGAGATTCTAGTAGACTCTGAGGTTGCAAGTTACAATTAAATTGATGATCATCAAAATGATTAAACATAAGCTGAAATTTTTGCTGCAGTTTGGACCAGTAACTTTATTGAAGCACACTGCAATATTTGAAGTTTTTCTAAGAGTTGTAAGCTAAGCAGTTTTAGGTTACATCAGAAAGTAGCACTGATTATTGTGGAACACAAAGATGGAGATGCATGCAAAGCTACAGTTGGCAAACACAAGTATGTTCTTTGTATTTTTCTGGTTAGTGCTTTTATATCAATTCACAAAGAGTGAACGTGTAAATTCTATGTAGTCATAAGCAGAAGGAAGTTCTCGGCCCTTGCTATCCATGTAGGGTTTCATGTGAGAGATGCAGTAATCTGCCTGTTCCCTGGTTAGGTTCTAAAAGAAAAAATTGAAGAGTAGGGTTAGAAGCAACTCAGCGGTGAAGACTCAGCTGTTTTCAATGGTAAAATGCTTACAGTCTAACCTCTGAATTACTCAGAGGTAGGTTTATAGACAGGAATTCAAGAGTTTGAGAATCCTGCTCAGTTATGCAGTATTAAAGACATTTCCCTCCTCCCTCTTGCCCCCCAACAAAAAGTAGTAACTGACTGATCTGACAAGAGGAACTTATCTCCTTCCCATGGTCAGGAACTAGCATGGAAAATTTGTTAATTGGTGACTTTTCTTTATGGACTGGTCCTCTCCTCCTGCTTTTAGGTAGCTTTAAGATTTTGTAGTTTAACTTTGATACAGTTGAATGGGGGCATTACTGTTACATTTAAGGCAAGCAACAAGAATTTAGAGTTTCAGTGCATCTGGGAAGTACTAATCTGGCTTCTTACTATCAGGACAGAGCTAGCATCTGGGAAGTACTAATCTGGCTTCTTACTAACAGGACAGAGCTAGCAACAAGAACAGAATACCAGTGCTTTGGCTCCACCCTCATGAAAAGATCAAAGAAACTTGCAAATTCAATATATACACAGCAAGTAGCCTTTAACTGCATCAACAACATCTTTTAGTGGTGGAGGAAAGGGGTTGGCAGTACTTTAGTGTTTGTGGTGGGAAGTTAACTGTTGTAGACCTATGCCAGTCAGCTTTGTAAAAAAAAGACACACAAAGTACGATGGCTCAGAACAGCAAGAGTTAATTTTCATGGTGCTAGTTGCTGCTGTCTGTCCGGAGATAGGTTTGCACAACTGACTTACTTGATAGAGCTCCTCCTTGGTCACATAGGGCTTGCCCTCTGAACTAAGGGCACGGAAAGCACTTTCTATTTCCTCACTGGATTTCACATTCTCAGTTTCCCTGCTGATCATAAATGCCATGTATTCCTGCAGTGAGACATGTCCATCCCTGCCAATAAAACACATACAGCATGTAAACAAACCTGCTTCCAGAACACCACTGTATGATGAAATTGAATTGGCAGCCCATAAAAGCAGGCAGGTCTAGTTGCAGGTTTATCTTTCTAACTTCCCAGACCTGCGTTATTCCTTACCATTTTAGTTTATCGGAAATGTCTAATTACAGCCCCGGCCACAGGGTCTAGGCAGTGAGAATTTCTTCACGTGTAGATATGTTTTAATAAGTTATAAATTAGCAGTGACTATTTAAAGGAAAAATTTAAAGAATTTGGAAAAGATGCAATAATGCGCAGAAGCTAAACCGGCAGCAGCCTGACACAGACTTTAAAAAATAAATAAGAACATTTAGCAGAACGGCTTATACTAGGTTTTCTTCTGTCCGTATACCTGTTGGGATCTACAGTGTCCAGAATAGCTTCAAACTCCGGATCTGGTTCTCCTTCCTCAACCATAGGTAAGTCATAGCCTAGAGAACGTAAGCAGGACTTAAACTCCTGGTGATTCAGTCGACCAAATTTGTCTTTGTCAAAGTGTCTAGAAAAGAAAATATGAATCTTGAAACTTTAAGATAACTGGTTAAACTTTATAATCAACTGAAAACTGGAACAAACAATACTTTAGCCTGAAGTTCTGAACATGATACTTGTGGGGAATAAGCAACTTGAATCTGCACCACTGATTTTTTGTGTCGAGATCATTCACGTGTCAAGAATCTAAAGAATTTCTTTACAATCACTTTTCCAGGTTGCTGAGTGTGTGCATACTCACTTGAACATCATGCTAAACTCCTTCAGAGCCTCTTCAGTGACTCCTGTAGTGTTTCTAAAAAATGAAGAAGCAAAGCTAGTGAATTGATCATGAAATTGCAGCAGAAGATCACAGGCTAATCAAATACCAAATTAATTTCAGGGTGTTTGGTTTTCTGTCTGGTATCCTCTTGAATGAAGGTACAGCATGCACCTGGTTAAATTGTCACTCATTTCACTGAGGAATCACACAGCAAGATGTAACTAGAACTATTTCTCAAACTGAAGTCTTACATAGAAAATGTAATACTAATACACACTACTCAGAAAACAAAGATGTTTATCCTACCTGAACCATGTGGTTTGTAACCATCTTTTAGACATTCCCTTCCTAGCCTTTTTATTCCCTGAAATGTGGTTTTATTTTCCAAAAGGAATGAAAACTGTACCTAGCTTGTATTTGCTGTTCTAGGTTGTGCTGCATCCTCATCCCCAGTTGGTCAAGCTGGTCCCACTGCTGTGCCAGCCCTACAGTGCTATGTTCTGTATATTTATTGTCCAAAATAAGTGCTTCTTCCATAGCTGCTCCAAGGTCCTCAATCTTCTTTAGTTGACTCCTCATGGCCCGAATCTCCTGGTGCTTACGCTATTTGGAAAGAAAGCAGAATGGAACACACATCAGCATACCAAAGTTGGAATTAAGTTAGTGTTATAAGCCTGTAGTCTGAGAGAAGGGAGAATGATGCAGCTGTTGTCTAGTGTTACAAAATATCAATATAAGAGAAGCTTCATCACATATGATGCAGATAGATTTATAAAACGGGCTGGAGTTCCAAGAGGAGTTTTTGCCTGTAAATATCATTCGAAATCTCTCAGCATCTACAGCAGGGCTTGGCAACCTTTTCAAACCAAAGGGCCACTCTCCATAAAAATTCAGAACAAGTGGTCAACAAAGAGCTGTATAAGAATGCCCGTTTGCATGACTGAAAATATACAACTTAATATTATTGATAACTGACATGATAATTAATAATAGCATAAATGAAACATTGTACTCAGACTATTTAATGGGACTTCTGCTGCTGCATCTTTTCCACACATTTCTTTGAAGTTTAAATCATAACTGGTCAAATCCAGCTTCATTCATGCTTTCAGGCTTTTTTTGCCATCTTATGGCAAGAGATTGGAGATGTGGGGGAGCAGGAGTCTGAGGGGTTCAGGGCAGGGGGTTCAGGTGTATGATGGTCTCAGGGCACAAGACTGGGGTGTGTTGGAGATATTTAAGAGCACCTCCATTCACAAACCCTAGAACACTCCCTAGCATAGACAGCAGGACTCAGGAGCAGGGCAAAAGAACTAGACACCCTGCATCCTTCCTGGTTCCTCCCCCTTCCCTCTGTCCCTGCTTTCCCAATACCTTCCTCCCTGGTGCCCACCTACTCACCATCCTCTGCCCCAGTTTTCCTCCTGCCCCTCCTGTACTCTCACACAACTTGCTCCATCCCCTGCTTCCTTTCAACCCCTCTTCTCTTGGCACCCACTCCTCTTCCTTCTCTTGCCCCCATTGTCCCTCCCCTCCTTCCTTTTCCTCTCCCAGCACCACCCTGTGCCCTCCTCCTTCCCATCCCTCTGCTCCACCTCCTCTTTCCCCTCATTGTCTCCTCTTGGCCCCTGGCATTTCTCTCCCTGCCTCTTGGTGCCTTCCCTTTTCTTCTCCTGCCCTGGCCCCTTCCTCTGCTCACCACCATGTTCCCCTTAGTTCTCCCCCTGCCCCTTCCCTCATCTTTGGCCTTCCTGACACCTGCACCTCTTAACTTCCTGGTTCTGGGGTAGGGCCACCTGGTGGGTGGCTGCCCCATGTGCTGAGGCTGGACCTGGAGCCAGGGTGCTATTTTTAGCACGCTGGCTGTGACCCAGGAGCAGCTGCACTGCAGCCAGGTTCCAGTCCTGGCACACTGGGCACAGAAATTTCTGGCCAGAACTAGCTGTGCTGAAAGGCCAGAACTAGCCCGCAGCCACCACTTGCCCTCTGGGCAGGTGGATCCATGGAGCCTGGGGAGCCATTCCCCCCTTGGAACTGGCTCCAGGAGCTGAGCTGTAGCTCCTCAGCATGAGGTGTTGTCGACAGGGCTGAAAGAATGAGGCTGCTACCGCCAAGCTGCCAACTCTAGCGAGGAAATGGAGGGGAGGGGAGAGATGTTGGTTGGTTGGTGGGGGGGAGAGGGAGGCAGGGTGGAGACCAGGAAGATGGGAAGGACAGATTGGGAGAAGGGAAGAGAAGACAGGGTCATGGGAAGGGGCGCAGAGATGGGCAGGGGCTGGCAGACCAGGGAAGGTGGGGAGGAGGGTGACCCTGGCACACTGTGCAGGACTGGCCCTTGTGCCTCCCAGGGAAGAAAGAAACGTGGCTTGGTCACTAGCTGAAGGCCAAACCCAGCTACCAATGTGCTGCTGCCTCCTCCATGCTTCCCATGGGAATGAGGGCTGAAGCAGCGTTCACCCATCTCCGCTCCTTGGGGTGCTTGGAGCAGCATGCCCCTTCTGCAGGAACCTGGAACAGCTGTTTTTAAAAATGCTGGCAGCTGCCCACCACGTGGCTCAGAGGGTCGGGGTGTACCCTAGTCCTGAGCCCCCCATGGTCATCACCGCAACCCGGTCCTGGTCCCGGTCCCTACCATCACAAGCCCAGCAGCAGCTTCCCCTTCAAGGGATAAGGAAGGCGAGTGCTGCTGTTCAGAGTTGGGTGGAAGTACAATTCCTTGTGTTCTGCCCCCACCCAGTCAACGAGCCATATTTAGGTGTCTCGAGCCATATTTGGCTTGTGAGTCATAGGTTGCCGACCCCTGATCTATAGCCTGATTTCAAAACAAAATGTACCAAGGAAAGGTTTCAGCTTCTGTCTCCACTGCAGAGACTTAACAATACCATACAAAAGGGAACTAACTCAAAATTTTCTTTTGGCTTGTGCAATGCCAGAGATAGGATTAAATAATCACACTGGTGCCTACTGACCACAACATTTATGAATCAATTTGAGACCTGTGTGTCAATTTTGAAAGGTATTTTCACTTTCCTCTCATTCCTGAGCATCAACAGGGAACAGTTTTAACAGCAGATGAGGAATGCTTACTTTTGTAGCTTCCAGCTGCGATTCCAGGGTTCCTGATTCCTCAACCATACAGGACCTAAACAAAGAATTACATTGAGGGAGAGACATTCCACATACAAGAAAGGCACGGCGAGAGGGGCTTGAAATTAACACTATCCTTTTTTAGGGCAAATGTAGAAAGGCACGGCGAGAGGGGCTTGAAATTAACACCATCCTTTTTTAGGGCAAATGTCTTCATAAACTTTGTAACAAAACTGTTTTTCCTATCAAGTTTCTGGCCATCAGCTTTTAAATTCACTCACCCTATATAAAACAGAGGCTTTTAGAAAATGCTTTATATAGTTAATTTCAAGCCCAATTTCACAGGCTATGTGATAAAGCAGCTACTGGAAACACACTTCATGCCAAATCCAAAGAACTCACCTTCTTACTGGACCTAAAGCGAAATTAAAAACCCAATGTAAATGCCCTTCCCATCCCAAACTGTGCCCAACATACACACAAAAAAACTACAAGTGATTCACTGGAGGCAGGCTTTGTTTGCCAATGAGACAGGTACTCTAGGGAGGCTTTACACAGAAAGCAAGTGTGAAAAACCTTTTGAGAACCACTGGCTTAATTTAAAGCCAATCCTGGGATAAGACAATCATCTTTCTCAAGACAAAAAAAGCACCACAAACTTTATTATAACTGGCTGAATGTTGCGCTCAGTATTTTCAAACTGTGACCCCTCACAGATGAGCATTTCTACCATGCTAATAGTTCAAACTTTATTATAACTGGCTGAATGTTGTGCTCAGTATTTTCAAACTGTGACCCTTCACAGATGAGCATATCTACCATGCTAATAGTTTAGAGCATTAAGACATATCCCTTGACAGTCATTTGAATTTAGGAATTGGTGCCAGTCACCATGATGGCATGCTAACAAGGGGCCCCAAACATCAGTCCAAACACTGTTTATAAAGACCACTTTTGTAATTATGATCTCCCTGATTCATTTCACAGATACTAGCTGCATAAAGTCCCTGAAGTTGGTTTTGTTTTTTGGATTCTTAGCAATAAGGCAGAAGTTTTTAGAGCCTCTTCCTGTAACAGTGAATATTCACAACAGATGACCTGTGTACAAACAGCAAGGTGGCTATTGTGCAGATGGTGCTGTACTGTGTTTGTGCCCCCATGGAATTTAAATTCCTGTATTAAGACTGTCTTCCCTTGCCCCCATCAGACCCTTTCCTCCCAAAGGGCTCAACCTTCTTGGAAAGGGTTTTCAAGTGCTGAATCACTCTGTAGTAGTGAAAATATGCCAAACATTTGGGTATCTCTCACCACAGAGGGTTAAAGCTCAGAATCAAAGTGTGTTTAAAGAGAATGAAGCACAGGCTCAGAACCTTGGCCAGGAAGCTGTGAACCAACAGTGGAAAGGTAAAACAAATCAGCAGGGAAACAACCCCCCAAGCATTTCACAGCAGTGAAAGTTAGTTGGAAAGAACACGAGCCTTTGGCATTAAGAGTGCATTTTAAAATCAGTGAGATAAGAAAATAAGAGGAAAAACCTTCCAGACAGATCATCCCCAACTTCATACTGATAGACACGAATGACACGACGATATGCTATGCTATTCAAAGAAAAGAAACCAAATGAATTCCAAAAAGCAAACAGTCAAGACAAAGGAAAGAACAAACCACAAGACCACAGCTACACAGCATAACTCCACGCCAGCACCACCTCACAGAGAATATCAAACAAGCAACCAGACTTAATGGCAGATGCTGGTTGTGTATAAAAAATAATCTAAATTAATTCAATATAAGCTATCAGAAAGTTGTTGAGATGAACAGAATCTCAGAGTTAATTCGAGCAACAAGCCTAATTTAAAAATAGTATCAACCTGTGCAAATATGGCTGCTGTATGCTGATAGATGAGAGGAGGACAACTGTGCTGAATTTGGAAGTGGGGATGTTAAAGACTAGTCGACTATCCGATAAGATTATTGGATAGTTCGTTGACACCCACCTCTCTTGCTGCCAAAGGGAGGGAAGAATGGGTACTTGAAAAGCATTTCTGGGGAAATGCTATGCTGGAGCCAGGGATCAGCAATGCAGTGCTACCATGCTTTGAAATGCTGAGGCGGCATTCAAAGGGGCAGCGCTGCACAGCTGATGTCTGGCTCAGCTGGGGAGTCCCCAGCTGATCTCAGGCTCCAGCACAGCATTTCCCCAGAACCTGAGGTCAGCTGGGGACTCCCAGCTCTGTGTGGCATTTCAAATCAGCAGCGCAGCATGGAGCCCAGGGTCAGTGGGGGACTGAGTCCCTTGCTGACCCCGGGCTCCTTGCT